GGGGGAATCAGCGTTCGTCGACGACGCAGAGGGCCCCTCGGGGGGGGCGGGTGGGGGGGGCAATGGCGGGCGCGAGACCGGGGACCGGGCCACATCTTGGGCATGGAGGAGAGGGGGAAGGAGGAGCGCCCGGGCGTGAGGGCCTGCCACCGCCACCGCCACCGCCACCAGCACCAACGTCGCCACCGCCACCGCCACCGCCACCGCCACCAGCACCAACGTCGCCACCGCCACTGCCACCCTTGCTGAGCGGAGGTGCCCCGGCATTCGATTTACCCCTCAGGGGGACTGGAGGCATCCAACCATGAGGCCGTGTTTCTCTCGGTGGGGTGTCCTTGTGTGTGTGTGTGGGGTGTGTGTGTGTGTGGGGGGGTATACACACTCACACGCACAGATATGCAGGATCACTTTTGTAACATGCAAATGCAGTTTCATGCAGAGAAAGCAATGCGTAGAGAAGTTTGCATATCTGTATGTGTGTATATGTATGTGTATGTATGTAATGTGTATGTATGTGTGTATGTATATGTATGTATGTATGTATGTGTGTATGTATGTATTTATGTATGTATGTGTATGTATGTATGTGTGTGTATGTATATGTATGTGTGTGTATGTGTATGTATGTATGTGTATGTATATGTATGTATGTATGTATGTGTATGTATATGTATGTATATGTATGTGTGTGTATGTATGTGTGTGTATGTATGTGTGTGTATGTATGTGTGTGTATGTGTGCCGCTATCTTCGTTTTGGACTTGGATTGGACGCAAGCAAGAACGAAGACCATCCTCCCCCGACCAGCACAGAGGGGGGTGCAGGGATGTGTGTGTGAAGCCGTACGGCGTTTAGTACGGCTGTTCGGTTATTGTCCGTTGACATTTTTGGCCAATGGCCGGTTGTCCGTGGGAGCGTCAAACACATGTGTCGCATTAATGTCGCATAAGGGTCGACATTTAAGTCTACGGTGTTGTACGATGTCATATGGTATCGTACGGGTGTCGTACACCTACACGTATGTGTAGATATGTATCTGTGTGTCATCACCACCGGGGGATCAACGCACAGTGTCTCATACACACAAACACATACACACACACACACGCGGCAAGCCAAGCGTACCGCACGATGGTTCACCACCACCCCCTCCTCCACCACTACAAACGTCACCACTACAAACACCACCACCAGTAACTCGGTGGGAATTTGGGGGGCGCAGGTCTTCGGGTTTCTCGACAACCGGCTGGCCGAGGAGGAGGGGGGGGAATGTGGCTGAGAGGCGGATGGGGAGGGTGACGTCAAGACACAGCTCTGTACCGACGGGGACCCCAAGGGGGGTTGAAATCCTTTGGAGCTCCGAAACCTCCCTCATTCGCATGAGAGACACAGACACTTTACACACATGTATATACATATATACATACATACACCTGTGCCTGGTAACAAGGACACCCGGACAGACATACAGACAGGAGACAAATGGAAACCGGAATGCTGTTGGCAATTTGTTAGTTGGTCCCAACAGAGCAAAACAAAGTACAAGGTAGTTCCTGCCACTTGCCACGAAGGGGGGAGAGAGTGGGGCAATACAGATGTCCAGGCGGCACCGCGGGGTTCTGTGTATCGAAGCAAGCAAACGTTTAAAGCAACCCCCATTCCCCGGGAGTCTTGTTATCTTGTTCTTGATATCAACATTGTCATCGTCGCCTCGTCGACTCGTGATGAGGGAAGTGGGCAGGCAGGCAGGCAGGCAGGCAGGCAAGCAGGCTGCGTTCTCTCGTCATTTCTCACATCGCCATGATCATCATCATCAGCAGCAGCAGCAGCAGCAGCAACTACACCCCTCCCCTCCTCCCCTTCTTCACCCCGGGCCCCCGCCTTCCGATCGCTTTCTAACTCTCCCTCTCCCACACCACCACATCCGCTGCGAGGAAGTCAAACGCTCTCCCGCAACCAAAGCTCTCCCCCCCCTCCTCCTCCCTCCCCCCCTCCTCCTCCCTCCCCCCCTCCTCCTCCCTCCCCCCCTCCTCCTCCCTCCCCCTCTCCCACAAGAGTTCCTGTCCCCGTCCCCGCCGTCCCCGCCGCCCCCGCCCCCGCCGCCTCCCAAATCGTCTCCGCCAGCTTCACCTCGTCCACATCGCCCCTGTGAACCAAATACACCTCCCGGGTGTCCGGTAACAACAAACCCGTCAGGTACAACAAGTTCCGAGAAGAGGAGGACGTCGTACTGCCAACATTACCAAGAACATCACCAACAGCATTAGCATTTGCAGCTGGGGAAGAGGACACGCCCCGGGCAGGAGTCAAAACGGGGGGGATGTGCGAGGGGCCGCCGGAATCGCCTTCGCCAGCTCCTGATAGCGTAAGCCCCAAGCCACCATGGGATGTCGTACACCCCGTACTCGTACCCGTACCCGTACCATGAGGCCCGGGGCCTTGGGGGAGCGAGAGCGTGTCGATGGCGGACCAGGCGGGAACTAGACCCGAGGCGGGGGTGGAAGGCTCGGTTGCGTGTGTTTCTCCTGTCGTACCCGACATTGCGGCAGCGGCCGCAGGTGGTGTAGCAGGCAGGGTGAGCGATGTGGGAGCTGGTGGGGACGGGGGTTGGCCGGGGCCAGGGCTGGCTTCGGAGCAGGGTATCGCTCCCTGCGCTGTGGGACGGCTTCCGGAGAGGCGGTTGAACCAGGAAGAGGAGGAGGAGGGTGGT